CTCGATTTGTGTGTATGTATATACATATGTTTGTGTATCTATAAATATGTTTATTTTGGACAGGCAAATAATGGAAACGACATTTGTTGTCACTTTTTAAGCCGTAGTATTTTTTTTCTGAGATGTCAGAAACAGCAACAGTAACAACAAAAGCAGCAACGTTCCTGATAATCCAAGACTAAGCTGAGAATCCTCCAAAACTAGATCATGCTTCTTACGGCATTTCATCGTTTAATGCCCGAACGGCACAACAGAATAAATGCAGAAAAAAAAGATATACGGACAATAAGGAACGAAACTATAGCAACTAAGTAGAGAAGTAAGCAAGACAGTGAAAAGACGAAAAAAAACGTAGAAAAATAAGGAGAAGAAGGTTATTTTGAGCAGTTTTTTGTTGCGTCAAATGTTTGCATGTAACAGAAGTCAGATGTATCATATTTATTCTGCTCTGTTACGTTACGTCCAGCGGAGGCCAAACACTGTCAACATTTCATCGACGATCAACCGCCGACAAAATGGACAGAAAACGTCAAGGAAGAATCCAGTGAAAGATGATCATCATGAGACAACTTTTTTTTCGTAGTTGTTGTTGTTGCTGTTGCTGTTGTCATTTTGTACCATTTACAATCTACTAATTCTGTTTACTCGGTCTTACTTAGCAATAGCAAAATCCATCTTAAATTTACTGTACTAAATGTAAAATAACGAACAACAACAACAAATGACTGTCATTTTAAAAGAGCTCAATTTCTTCTCGTTTCAACAACACTGAACACTATTGTGTCTTCTTCTGCTTGTTCATCGCCAAATAGTGTTCGCTTTCACTCAACTTCATCCGTTAATTAACTACAAAAAAAAAGCAGAAAAAAATACTTGTAGTGGCTATTCCTCGGCAGGTTAATGACGATAACAAAAACAGACGTTTCACTGGTGATCCCTAACAGGACCAATGCTCACGTGCAACTAAACCAGGTGAATGAAGCAGTCAACCAAAGCAGTATCATTCAAAAATAAGAAAAAAAAAGAAGGAGAACAGAAGAAGCGACAAGATAATACTTCAGTACATAAAACAGTACTCTTTAAGAAGAAAAATGACAACAAATAGCTGTTCACCGAGTTCACTCAAATACGTAAACGAAGAGCACTCAGACCTCAGATAACATAACCGCTGTTGTTGTTGTTGCTGCTTTTGTTGGCTGTTATACGCAATTTGTTGCGCTTATTCTATCCATAGACCATTTTAGCCGCTTATGTCTATGTCCATTTGTGTTCAGACAGGCTAGAAAAAAAATTTTTTCTTAAACAAAAAATTGATTAAACAAAGTACTGCTGTTTGAACAGTACTAAAACAATGATGAATAACAGCAACCGTAACATCCGCAGCAGTAGCAGCAGCAATACCACCGAGATACACTTGAGTGAGTGGGATATAATTTAAAAAAAAAAAAGAAACAAAGGTAACTAAACTAAGTGAAGAAAACGATAGGTTTGGACATCAATTGATACGAATAAAAGCAATTAAGTAATGCAATAACTGTTCTATCTGTTACTTGTATCTCTCTCCAAGTATGTGTACGTTTTTGCTTAATTTTTTTTCAACCTCAAAACAACAGATAAAAAAAAGCTGCAGAAAAAAACCTTGAGTGAATAAAAAGAAAGAGAAAAAAAGCAAAAGTAATGATAAAAAATCACATGCATTATATATATATATATATATATATATATATATATATATCAGTGAATATTTGTAGCAGTTTTTTCTTTATTTCAAACATATAGCCGAAAAGCAAAATACGAAAAAAAAAAATAAGTTTTTTTTTTTTTAATCTGCTATTGACGGATTGTTGTCTATAGAAGTGACCTTGCAAAAAATTTTTTTTGAATTTTTGCCTTTCAACTAACATATAACACAGATACACATACACACAGGCATACGCACACAGATATATACTAACGGAGATACGTTAGACAGCCAACCAACACCATCACCATCAACCTTCCATCCATTTTTAGAAAGCCTTTTATCGTCTACGTAGACAAATTCTTCCACCTAGTTTTTTTTTTTCTCATTTCGTTTTTGCCTTTTTTATTCTTCATTACTACACTTCTCTTTTTCCTCCATCAAATACCTTATATTAATTGAGATTTCAGTTGTTCATTAGTTTTTTTTTCAATATTTTCCTTTACTTTTTTTTTTTTTTTGCCTTCGCACATCCTCCCGTTATCAACTTGGCAGCTCACATAGCAGCTTACTCCATAAAAAAAAAAAGTTCCTCTCTTTTTCTTGTTAAAAGAAAAACTACTGGCCAGTCATCAATATGTATAAATGATAGCAACATAAAATATCGTCAATAATAAGCTGACGTGAAACAGAACAGAAAGCCGTCTGAAAGTTTTAAGCAAAAGAAGAAGAAGCAAAGATATGAAGGCAAATGAGAAAAAAATGGCAGCTGAAATTAGCGGTTAGAGTCAGTGTTACTTTATCAAGAGATGGATAAAAAGTAAAAAGTTCAAAACTGTTAGCAGGTATTAAACAATGTTCATTTCAAGTATCAAAGTATAAAAAAACACGTCCAATCTACACCGAAAGACAGATCAAAATTGCAAAGTCCAAAATGTTGAACAGAAGTATTATCAATAGAAGTCAGACAGAAATTTGTCATATAACAGCTACAAAGACAATTTGAAGATGAGCACTTAACAGTTCTTTTCCATGTAATGTGTGAAAAGTTTTTTTCCTTTATTTCAATGTTATTTTTTCTCCCACACTATATTTTATTACCGCATTAAACTGTCGAAAGCAAATCTGAAAATTTGAGTAGTGAAAAGAAGGAAAAAAAGATGACGTAAACGAAAGAATAGTTTACTTTATTTGTGTGTGTGTGTGCGTTTTTCTTTCTATCAAACTGTGGGTGTTTGTTAAATAGAATAATCTCAAAAATCTTTTCTAGGCATCTATCTCATCGCAATAAAGTATTCTATAAAAATATAGAAGTTGCAAAAACTCATATAACAGCGTATTTTGAATTCCTAAATACAGAAAGAAAGAAAACATGAAAAATTGTAGATGAATAATCAACAGACAATTTCAGTGGCGATGACAGTGATAGTGTTGCTGCATTTTGATCTGATAATAACAGTGACAGTAAAAGCAGCAATATAACTGAAATGCTGATGACAAATTGTAATACTTATTCACCGATACTCAACTTGGTTTACTTAACTGCCGACGAAGACGAGGATAACGATGGTGATGGTGTTGGACCACTGATTACAAGAGTACACGTGCAGACAAGCATACCACCAATTTTGTAACGCATTTTGCGCTTGTTGGTTCGATCTTTCTTCATCTTCTTTATTCCAGTCCGCTCTTCCTGAGCATTTTTGTTTCCATTATCCAATAACTCCATTGTTCCTTGACCATAAATGATAGTACGCATGTACTATGTATTCGTCACTTATTTGTCAAATCTATGGTACCAACATAAAACCAGTTCAATTTATATCTGGTCCTCTACATTCCTCTTGTCAGCTTCTCATGAAAACCCGTCGTTTCTGGACGATGAAGTCGGATGAAATAACCAAATGATAGAAAATATCGGATCAGCCAGCGGCATTTTAGTGAAAATCAATACTGCGATACCGGTTTGGTCAACCCCAAACCAGCGTCTAGCAGTGACGTGTATTGATATACCAATGTTGAAGCTGATCTGCTGCTTTAATGATCATGATTTTATTCAACTTTTTTCCTCTTCTCTTACAGAAAAAAGCAGAAAATTTGTAAATTGTTTTACCTTCCAAAAAAAAGCAAAAAAAAATTTCACCTTCAAAACAAGAAAAAGAAAATTAATATAATTTTAATCCATCACTACTCACTGGTTGTAATTTTCGTTTTCTACCGCCTCCTCAAAACAACATTATTTTTGAATTCTGCCTCAATGACAAAATTACATTCTGAACAGCAAAAAAAAAAAAAAAAAAAAAAAAAA